CGAGACGTCTCAAAGTGCTTCACAGACTATACTGTAAAGTGAATTGACCATATATTTTCTGAGCGAAACACGGCAGCCAATTGTGCACACAGCGTCCCACAAGCAGTCGTGGATTGAGTAACTGAATTATTATACTTTTTATTTACTGTAGGAATTATTATTTTTGAAGGAATTATTACCCACGGAAAAGCGATCCACCAATCGACTAACAACCAGATTCGTACCAGGTAAACAAGCGTGTGGAGTAAGGAAACTTGCCTAACATTTCACCCTGGCTGGAAATCGAACCCAGGTCCTCTTGCTTGCGAGGCGAGTGCTCTAAACAATACGCTACAGGACTCCACTTAATTGATTGTGGTTGTGGGTTGGTGGGGGGAAAGACCTCCGTGATGGTAGATATTTACTTACCAAAGTCTTCGCTCAGGTCCTATTTTAAATCAATGTCTTATACTGTAAAACAGTAGGCTATCCTGCCCAAGAAGCCGATTCTGGTCATTTTCCTAGATCCTGTCAGGTCTTTCAATTTGCCCACCTTTACTCCAAATCCCTTAATAATCTATTTCCATTTTGGTATCGAGCCCCATCGCTGTATCTTGAAACCTTTGGCAATTTGAATCCCTGGTAACTCCGATCTATTAACCTGTGTCCACAACCTTTCAGTGTCTGGGAAGTGCATCTCACATCCTCCCAAGCTTTTGTGTGAAGTTTATGATTAAAGGTTATTGCAGTAATTGATGTCGAAGGACTTACCAGGACATGGGAAGCTCAGCTTGCAAAGGGTTTCAGGATACAATACTGTACAAATGACACAGAGAGAACGGGATTAAATAGATTGCTCTTTAAAAGGGCCATCGCAGACAAAATGGGCTGAATGGCCTTCTTAAGCACTCTGGGGCACTACACTACGTAAGGGGCACTATGTAAATGCACGTTGCTCTTCAAATGTAAATGTGTATGGTTCTAATATGAGAAGGGAAATAGGGCCATTTTACCACTAGAAAAGATGAAGAAGACAGAGGGCATATATTCCTGAGGTTTCTGGTATTTTGTAGATCTGCCGTGAAGATTGCTCGAGAAATGTGTGACCTGCGCACAGACAAAATAATGGCTTTGGGGTTCAAACCTCCCAAAAAATATTGCTTTTAAAATCCCAATAGACAGGGAAAAATACGAACAGCACAGAAATAAAATATAATGCTTTCACCTTGATGTATAGTGAGTCATTTCACAACCTGAAGAACAGAAACAAAATCCTATTTGTGCGGCATAAATGAATGTAAAGCAAAGTTCCTCTGTTAGCAATCTTGGGATTAGGGGTTATTAAGAAAAGCAGCCCTGGAAAGTTAGATGTCTTATTGTTACAACTGAGGATGTAATTATAAGACTTGGTATTGAAGACAAATGTTTAGACAATACAGGAGATATCACATCATGTATTGTTATGTTTGTAATTGTTTTCAAAATACCTTGCCTACATTGTGTTGGGTTTTCTAATTTGAACTCTGCTAAAAATTACACGTGGAATACATTAGGACAGTTATTGAAGAGATCTTTACTGTGCGTTCAGCAACACCTCAATCTAATGATGCATTTTATTGCATATATATTGTTTCAGTAAAACAAATGCAAAATGGAATAAGCCCAATTGAGGGAGACGCAATGTCACACAGTGAGCGCTGCGAATTTACAAACAGAACATTCTAGAAAGGCCGAGCAGGGCCAATGTTGCAAGAGAAGTGTAGAGATAAAGGAGCCGATTCAATCCTCTTTAATTTTCACTTTTACCTGCCAGGAATCTCCCGGATATTCTGTTTTTAATCTGAAATCAAAGTTGTCGGAAACGCAAGTTACTAATACCTGTGAACGTTTCTAGTAAACAACAATGACAACTTCACGCGGGCTAGCGTCCCAGAGTGTTTTACCCGGGGAAAGAGATTTTATTATTGTGGAGGCCAGTTTCATTTTTAAGACCTGTGGAAAACCGGCTACTCAATTAAATCCGAATTTATGAATTTTTCACAATTCTGTGCAATCTTAGTTTTTTAGGCAAGACTGGGTTTATGGGCTAAGACTATGTGGAATTTTGGGGCCTCTGATACCTTGTTAGTGGAACCTTAATTGACTCTGACATTGACATTGTAATTAAGATTTTTTTTTGCCTCCCTTACAAACGATACCTAACACTGGGAGAATTTTTTTTTTAAATCACTGTGTAATTGCATTAAGAAATTTAACAAAAATAGAAAATGACTTAAATTGCAATCCTGGAAATGTAATTCTGTTTGCAGACCTGGCAATGATACGGTCTTACAATTGTCTTATAAACCATGTGCAAGGCACCAGAGTCTTCATAATTTTTACAATGCCCGTAAAAACCTGAAAGAATCTCGGTACAATACAATTTACATTTGTGTAGCGCCTTTCATCTTGGCAGGATGTCTCAAAGCCCTTAAACATTGCTGGCACCTGGACTGGGGTTGGAATCATGGATAATACAGAACACAGCAAAACAATGCCAGCTCATTAATAATTAATAAATGATAATAAAAATGCAAGGATTATTATTTATTATATTCCAGAGCTGCTCCTACACACTTGCTCTAATGCTTTCTCTCTCTCTCTCTCTCTCTTGCTCTCTCTCTCTTTCTCTTTCTCTCCTTTTAGAATGTTTCCCATCAGATACTTATCCAATTCAATCCCAATGATTTATTCACAAAATCACAGGATTGGTTTGTATGAAAAAGTCCCTTTGGCCCATCTGATTTCAACCCTCCAGAATACCCACCCTATCGTCCTCCCATCACAGCATCAAACTACTTTTCTTTTTGATATAAATGTCTCCTGTCTTCCTTCCTGCCAACCTGCTCCAGTTGTTAATTGTACACCGGGAAGCTTATCAAGAGCAGGATTGAACTGTGGATCTTTGTAAAAGGAAGATGGAAAGAGGAACTGTGTGCACACGCTGTGGTTTCCTTAGGCAGAGGCTGACCAATATGTTAGCAAAATTAGTATGAAATGCGCGAGTGAATGGCATAACGTTCATGGCTTGCCACATCATCACAGTAGGTCAGCCTGGTTGGTTCAGTGTGGTGTGTAGCACTCTCGCTTTGGAGTCAGAAAGTCATAATAATAATAATAATAATAATAATCCTTGCATTTGATATAGTGCTTTTCACGTCTTCTAGACGTCCCAAAGCGCTTCGCAGAATAGACTGTAAAGTGAATTGACATATATTTGTGGGCGAACGTGGCAGCCAATTGCGCACAGCAATGTCCCACAAACAGTCGTAGATTGAAAATGACCAATTTATTATTGTTTTGTTTTGAAGCGATTATTATTAGGCTCTGTGTGGAGTAAGGAAACTTGCCCAAGGTTTCGCCCTCTGCCTGGAATTGAACTCAGGTCTCTCACTTGCAAAGCGAGTGCTCTAACCACTGAGCTACAGGACTCCACATATATAGGTTCATGCCCCACGTTGGGGCTTTGAGCTTCTTTTAGTGTGAGGTGACACTCCAGTGCAATGCTGGTGGGGATTGTCAGTGTTGTGGCCCTTCGGATGAGATATTAAACTGAGGCCCTGTTTAATGTCTCACCCCTGTTGATTCCAACCCCCAGCACTGCATTGGAGGGTCAGGCTAACAGCCTGCGTGCATGTGATTTCTAACGAGTCATTTTCATACATTTGCATTTTTTATGTGATGGAAAGCCTGGTATTATCAGTGGTGCAGATAGGCAGAAACATTGAAAACTACAGCACAGAAGGAGGTAATTCAGCCCATCGACTCACAGAGCAAGGGAATCAATTCAATTCCGAGTCGCCTGTGCAAGGGATAAAAAAACACAGAGGGTAAGAACGTGAGATCTCTTCCTACGAATTTCAGATTGTTCAGAGCTGAATCTTGAGTCAAACCTAGCCTCCGACAATCGGTTTCCGATCTGCAAAATTGAAATCCAGATTACCCGAAGCTGGAAGAATCCTGCTTTGATCGACCATCCAAATTGTACGCGATGGATTCAAATTCAACCAACCACCCACTCTTACCCTCCACCCCTATTGCTTCCAACCCCCAGCTCGGGTGCAAACCCTTGACTGTCCATTGCCTTGCCTTGGGACGTCCTTCCGACATGAAAGGCACTGTGTAAATGTAAGTTGTTGCTGTTGTTGTTGAACATGAAATTAAAATCCCAAATCTCTTCTCGGTGAAATAATAGATGAGGCTTGTCTCTCGCTCAGCAACAGTAACTTTGTGCCTTAGTCACAGCGTTCCTTCAGTAAAGGCTTTATTCTGTGGCTGCAAGATCCTCTGACTATGATTTTGTGCGCAGGAGCTGGCGGGATCTGCTCACAGCAAAATTATCCTCTCTCTCGCACTCACAGCCAGCCAGTCACATTGCAATAAGTCAAGGATTGTTCAATTGGTGTGTTTTTTTTATTCCCACTTTACAGTAAATCCTATGAAGCGCTTTGAGATGGCTTGTAACATCCCCCTGAAGTGAAGGGGCTATATAAATGTAATTTGTTGTTGTTGATAACGTGATAAGGTGCTATTTCAAATGCAAGGATTATCAAATGCAAGGATTATTATCTCAAATGCAAGGATTCTCGTTGTAATCTCAAAGTACTTCACAGGTAATTCTTGTTGCGTGTACCTGTGGTCAAAAGATGGCAGGCACTTTGCACACAGCAGAGTCCCACAAACAGCAGCGCTCCCCCCACCCTCCAGCACTGCACTGGAGTGTCGGGCCTGGACTGTGATCCCAATGTGGGACTTGGACCCATGGCCAGAGAGTGACCTAACTGACTGCTACCCACGTTGACACCACCCAGATCGTATTTTCCCGTAACATTTAGTCACGACCTGTTTGTCCAAGAATAATACTGAGCTCGAGTGCTGCAGACTTGATGCAATCGTGAAGGAGATTAAAAGTTTACATTACCACAGGAAAAAATATACCTACATCAGAAGGACAGGAAACAGGAAGTCTTTCAGCCAAGTCTCTCGATATAAAAGATACCCTTGGTAGAAAAAATAAGAATAAGCCAAATACTAGAATTTCTGGCATTCTGTCCTGACAAAGCAAATACGAAAATGTTAAAAANGCAAGAGAGTCCGTCTGTTTGACCAGTGAGGTGGATGGAGTTCGTCTTTTTGTAAACCGTGTTTTATTTTGCTGTGTCGTGTGTGTGTGTTTTTCTTTAAAGCACCGAAGATCTGAACAGCAAGAGAGAAGAAACAGCAAATGTCGCAGAATGAGATCTCAACCACCACCCAATCCACAGCCAATCATAGATCAAATCCATGCTGTTTCTGCTGGTGCTGTTGCTGCGGCTGCTGGTATGTCCGACAATCTATACAGTAAAACCTAGTGGTAAAAAATAAATTCCTTACGCCTTACGCTTTAGCAGGTGAAAGCATTCTAAACGCCACACAGGATCCTAATGAATAACCAACCTCAATCAGAATTACTGTCGGTCTTCCTCAAACCCAGTTGATTAAATTTAAGTCGTAATTACATTTATTTCAGCAGCCTATTTTTATACCCTTTTTCTCTTACTCGAAGGACATGCTGCATTCCTGCAGAAAACAAAAGCCAGTCTCTGGGAGCCCTGTGCCCACAGAGAGCTTATACAGTGTTTTTTTATATAATACCCCACCCCCCCCCCATCCCCGAGCCCCACTCAAATTACTTTGAGACATAATTTGATTTACGTTGCTTTGTTAAAAGAAAGTGAACGACATTTGTTCTTAAGGCCCATCGTTCACACACTGCACGGTAAACCTTTCTGGGAAATCAGACACTTACGCAGGTAAGTTAGATCTTTGCAGTGGCTGTGAACAATCACATAATTGATGTTTAGTTGTCTGTAGAGTGTGGTCCTTCTGCAGAAATGATTTCCCAGAGCTGAGTCTTGCGGAGAGGTTTGTACACCACAATGTCTTTGCGTTAAGCTTTCTGTTCATTTTATCTCAAAGCACTTTGCAGGTAATTCCTGTTGAGTGTAGTGACTGTGCACCGAGAAGCAAAGATGGCAGGCAATTCGCACACAGCAAAGTCTCTGAACAGCAGTGCTCCCCCCCAATCCCCCCCACCCCCACCGATTCCAAACAGTTCTGCTTCTGAGAGAGAGAGGGAGAGAGTGACATTTTCAGTGAGTATCAAAAAATATCTAGGGGCTGAATTTTCTTTTTCCTTTTTTTTATAAAAGAAACTTAGGTGTAAAAACCGTCTGAACAAAACACAGCGATTGCTAACTCAATTGCAGAAATGCCCACTGTTGCTCAATCCATTTCTCATGGGCTTAGGCTTAAGACCGTTGTCTTGAAATTGAAATTTCTTAAATTCAACCTTATTGCGGAGCACTGAGGCACTATTCTAACGTGAAGAACGCTGTACAACGGCAAGTAGGAAGACTTGTCTGAGGCTGGAACCGCTGGAATCATTTACAACAACAACAATAACAAAATTGCATTTGTAAAGCGCCTTTCACGTCAGGAGGTCGTCCCAAGGCGCAGGACAGTCAGAGTTTCGAACCTGAGCTGGGGGTCGGGGTCGGGGAGGGTGGAGGGCTGTGGGGGGAAGCAGGGAGATCGAAAGCACGGTCGAAGAGGAGGGTCTTGAGATGAGTCTTGAAGGAGGCGAGGGAGGGGGCGAGGAGGAGGAAGTGCGGGGATGAATTTCCAGTGGATGGGAGCAGAGTGGAAGAAGGCCCACCTGCCAATAGTGGGGTGAGATGAACGACTTGATGCTATAAAGGGAAGACTTCTCGAGGTGTTCCGAGACAATGATATAAAATCGGTCGAAGAGCCTTCAACCGAACTGACAACTGATCTAACAATCTTTAAACGTGTGTTTTCTTTGGTTTTAGAATGGTGTAAATTACATATTCCTTGAATGTCAATTCTCTTTCTCTCTCTCTCTCTCTCCCACCCAAACCCACCTCCCCCACAGTTTCATTTCTCTTTCAAGTCGTGATGGGTTTTTGTTTGTCATGAAAACCACACAGTAGGAACTAGATTTCCTGTCTCGTGGATGTTTCAAAAAAATCTTTCTTCCTTTGCCAGTGCACATCAACTGAAACATTAGTTAGTAGAGACCCACTTCCTTAAACCACTCTTTCAAGAAACAGGCATTCTCTTGTTGTCAAACCACTTTTATTTTACGGTTGTGCAAAAAAGCAGCAGGTGTAACCCTCATGTTCTTCCCCAGAGCACGGCAAACTCAACTCAAGTTGCATTTATATAGCGCCCCTCACTCATGCAGGATAGCATCCCAGAGCGCTTGACAGTGGCGGAGCACGACACCAAGCCGGGGAGGTGACCGTAGGCACGGTCGGAGAGGAAAGTCTTCAGGCGCGACCTAAAGATGGGCGAGGAAGGAGCAAGGCGGAGGGGTAGAGGAAGGGAGTAGTAAGAAATTCAGGGAGTAGTGGCTGAAAGCGTGGCCACCCGTGGTGGAACGGAGGACACGAGGGAAGAAGCCAGTTGAGCGGAGGCAGAGGGCTGTGGGTTGGGGGGGTTTAAGCAGGTCGTAGAGGCAGGGAGGGGCCCGGGCATGAAGGGATTTGAAAATGAGTGTGAGGATCTTGACATTGATCTGTTTGGTGATAGGGAGCCAGTGGTGCCTGGCTACAACTGGTGTGACAGGGCTACGGGTGAGTAATGCACCTAAACAGTCATATTTATTCTTCAGTTGCTTAAAATCTGTACAGATGTGTGTGCAGACATACATAAAGGCTAAGACTAGGGAGAAGTTGGGGCCCTCTGGTGTCCGATAAATGCGATAATGCCTTTTGCCTTTTGACGATGTGAGCTCAAAGTCCTGACGTGGGTGGGGGCTCAAACTGAACCCACCACCTTCTGCCTCAAAAGGCGAGAACGCCAGCCACTGAGCCGGGCTGACAGCTTAGCTGCATCTAGTGACGCTCGGAAATGTAGCTCTCACGCGCGTGTTTTAAAAACACGTGATAAGGCGTTAAATCAAAAGGGAAGCATTATTATTACTACCCCAGAGGATCGAATTCAGGATCCTCATCCTCACCTACAAGGCCATTCACGGCCTTGCTCCCTCCTACCTCTGCGACCTACTATCCCCCTACCTACCTGCCCATACCCTCCGTTCCTCTGGCTCCGGTCTGCTCCTAATCCCCCGCCCCAACTGCTCTACCATCGGTGGCCGGGCCTTCAGCCTCTCAGCCCCGAGGCTCTGGAACTCCATCCCCCAGTGCCTTCGCCGCTTCCTCCCTTTCCTCCTTCAAGGTCGGTCTCAAGACCTTTCTCTTTGACCGTACCTTCAGCTCCCCTCTCGACTCTCTACCCCCTCCTCACTCCCTCCCTTCCCTCCCCTCACCCTGACCATTTCCCCCCAATGCTCGGGTCCCGACCCAACTGTCCAGCACCTTGGGACGTCCTCCCGACGTGAAAGGCGCTCTATAAATGCAATCTTGTTGTTGTTGTTCTCTCTGTGCCACTAAAGTGAACAGTTATTGAGCTCCCCCCACCCACCAACCCCTGTGCCAAAATATGGGAGCCTCCTTGTCCACTTCACTGCTCCACAGCTGACAGCTCAGCTGAATTAGAGATAATGGGTGCAAGGAATGCAAGAAATTTGGCTTTTGCATTCCCCATTTGCTGCTAATGTTAACCTGGTGATTCGAATTACACTGTATGGACAGCACTGGAAGGGACTGTTAATGTTTAGGATGAACAGGATCATCACAGGGAGGGGCTATAATGTTGCAGAGTTTTTAAATGCAATATTTTAAACGGAGGAGCAAAGTGTGTGGGGTGCGGGGGTTGGGGGAGAGACATTAGGAGGAATTGTTTTACGCAGAGATCTGATAGCGTGTGGAGTGGCAAGCTGTGCCACTCCCAAAAAGACTTGTTTCTCACCAGCGGGAACAACGCTTGCATCACTCACGCACAAGGCAAACAGTCACACACAGATCAGAATTGTTCCATGTGTTTGCCATGCAAAATATGATGAAAATAACATTGCGGGATTGATTTGGCTGTTACGGATTGACGGCTTTGCAGTGTAACTCCTCTGAGGTTAGTCATGTCCGCCCTTGTCAACAACAACAAAATTAAATCTATACAGCGCCTTTCACATTGGGAGGATGTCCCGAAATGCTGGACAGTTAAGGGTTTGCGCCCGAGCTGGGGGTTGGGATCAGGAGATTTGAAGGGCAGGGTTGGTGGGTGGGTGGGTAGGTGGGTGGGAGAGTAGTTGAAAGTACGATCAAAGAGGGAAGTCTTGAGATGGGCCTTGAAGAAGGCAAGGGAGGGGACAAGATGGAAGGACTCCAGGATGGAGTTCTAGAGGGTGGGGCCAGAAAACCTGAAGGCCCAACTGCGATGGTGGGGCGGGCAGGACGGGGAACATGAAGCAGGCCAGTGCCCACCGAGCGGAGGGAACGGACTGATTGCTATGGTGCTATGTGGTGTCCAATGCTGGGATGGATAGAACTTCAGGTAATAAACCTTTATACAGTGGGCGATCAATGACTTATTAAGCAGATTATCAAGGAGGATAGTAGAGTGTAGTCAAGGGAAGCTGTGGGTAGGCCAGTCAGCAGTTTAGTTGCCCAGGGTCATGTTTGAGAAATGGTATGTGACCCAGTTATAACCGTTAAATCAAACGAAAAATCGAGACACTGAGTAAATATTTCCATCGTGGGATAATTCAAGGCAACGACGTTGCAGTTTAGAGATTGCAGAGTTTCTATTCTTCTGGGCCGACCAGTTCTGTATGCGCTGAAAGAAGAGATAGCATCACACAGTTATAAACAACCTCAAACATCCAGAATAGTGTTAATGCTGTGCTTCTTCAGCCATAATTGACTAATAAATGAAGAAACACAAAATAATGCATTTTAAACTCTTTGCTCGACTGATTGTTAGTTTTCCTCATTTTCGCCCACAAAGAACAGTCAATTCACTTTACTGCATATCCTGTGAAGCGCTTTGAGACGTCTCGATGACGTGATAAGGTGCTATATCAAAGGCAAGAATTTTTATTATTATTTTATTTCCTCAGCTCTTTATTTAAAAATATTTAGTTGTTACTTTTTCTCAAACTTTCAAAAACTATTTCCTCAACTATTTATAATTTTTTTTTAAAAAAGCGAGAAAATGGGGAACAGTTAAAGGGTCGATGACTGATAGGATCTGTGACTGTCTCAATTTTCTGGCTCTTGAATCTTGAAACGGAACTGAGGTGGGGAGTTTGAGAGTAAAATAATAATAATCCTCACGTTTGATACAGCGCCTTATCACGTCGTTGAGACGTCGCTTCACAGAATATATTGTAAAGTGGATTGACTGTGTATTTTGTGGGCGAAACGTGGCAGACATTTACGCACAGCAGCGTCCCACAAACAGTTTTGGAGTGAGTAATTGTTTTAAAGAATTGTTACCGCCGGAAAGCCATCCACAGATTGACTAACTACCGGGTTCCTACTTACTGCTGGATAACCAGAGGCGTGTGGAGCAAGGAAACTTGCCTAAGATTTCGCCCCACTCGGGAATCGAACCCGGGTCCTCTCGCTTGCGATGCCGAGAACAGGGAGCGCCAGGAGGCATGAAGATGTTCTCAGAACTCCAAGGGTTAAATTGGTCCATTTTCCAGCAAAGATTGTTTCTATAATCCGTCATGTTGACATCTATCTTGCATCACTGTTCCTGGTTTCATGACTCACAATAGAGGAACTAAATGTCACAAGACTAGTGGCACCACTGCGATCTGCAATATTGCTTCTCTGCCTGCAAGCAAGGCAGTGGCTGAAACTCTCAGTCACCGGTAGAATACCTTAAATAAGTTGGCTGAAAATACATCTTGAAATAAGAAAAAAAAATGTGGAGAGTGGGGTTAGGGGGTGGGAGTAAGTGGTAACCACCTTTAACAAGGCTTGGCAAGTGCGACAATCAGTTGCACACTCATGAACTCTTATGAAAGGAAACCGCAGTAAAACCTGATAGGGTTTCGCTGTCCATTTCTCTCAGGAAGTTGCACCATCAGAGATGTCTACATCGGAGGTCAGGGTGAGAGAAATCCACTGGTCACAACCTTAAAGCCACGCACTTTTCGAGTTCCCAGCGAAGTTGCACGGTTCGATTAATACTTATCAATAATCCTTGCATTTGATATCTCACCTTTCACGTCGGGAAGTGCTTCACAGGATTCACTGGACAGTGTAGTGACTGTGTATTTTGTAGGTAAAATGCGCTACCAGTTTGTGCACAGCAATGTCCCACAAACAGCAAAGATCCCGTGGGTGAATTTTATCTGGGGGAATCATTGGCCAGGAGACCGGGAGAAACTCCCTTCTAATTTCAATTAGTGTTATTGAATCTTGAACGCCTACCTGAATGGGCAGACAGGACCTCAATTTTAAAATCTGATCCAAAGGCCGGCACCTCCGACACAGCATTGGCGAGTTAGCAATGGGCTATGAGTCGCAAGATCCGACGTGGGGCTTGAACCCACAGCCTTCAGATTCGAGGCGAGAGCGCTGCTGACTGAGCCAGGCTGACACCCAGGGTGGCCTAATAAAATGTGACGCACGAGAACGCTAAGACGGGCGATCGAGGGACCAATTTGTCGCCTAAACAAAATCTTGCCATCATTGCCGATACCGCTGCTCTGTTTTGCTGGATTGAGGCACTTGGTACAGGATGGTACGAATGCATTCACCAGAATACCACAAGGCCCTCGATGTCTGCTCGCTTGGGGTTCAGTGCTATAAATGTGTGGCCGTTTGTTATTTCACCGACTTCCTTTGTTGTCCCCGTTAGGAAAGGAAACAATGATCGGATCCGAAGAGCATCCTACGATACCAAATTGGAAACGATACAGAACTGTGAAGCGAGGTGAGCCCTAGGTCCATTTAGAATCAGATGTCGTCTCTTCTCGTTTCTCGGCCAACTTCGATGAATGTGAACCAGAGAAACTTTCTTAAAAAGACGACAACTTTGTATTTTTCATCCAACCGTGTGTGGCCCAGTTTGTATGGAAGTCAACAGCAGGAAATCTATGACACTGGGCTCATACCTGCATTGTTTACGTGCTCTGGTGTGTGAGGTGTTGTGTGAGGTGCACTGTATAAATGCAAGTTGTTGTTGTTGTTTATGTGTTCACTGTCTTCTAACCCAGACAAGAGCATTAGCACTACAGACCAGCATACTATCGAATAACTCATGATCAACGGTATTTTGAGAATCACCCCAGCTCATCCATTAGTACTTAAAAGGCGGCAGAACAACCAAACAGTTCAATATTCATCCCTTTTGACTGGCATCATTCGGGGGGGGAAATTGCATAAGTATGATAAATCATATTAAGGTTATTACATTCGATAAGGACCTCCATCGCCCTTGATTTTTTTGTTTGTCTTCACAGCTATAACTCTATAATTACCGAAACGTTGCCAGCTGACCTTTTAAAGTTGCATTCTTTGCAAATGAGTCAGTCATTGGTTGGTATAGGCTGGGACTTTCATAATGTAATCACAAAAAAACTACTTGAAAGCATTCAGATATAAATAATTCAAAGCCTTTAAGGTTGCTTAAAGTGAAATGAAGAAATGCCAATGGCATTTTGTTTTCTGAAATGTCGTCCTTACTCGTCTAACATTGATTGCACTCCTTGTTGGCCTCGATAGCTCCCCTCATCAGAAGCTTCAACTGATCTAGAACTTTGCCCAGGTTCTCTCCTGTTCAACACCTTTCATGTCCATTATTTCAATCCTCAGCAAGCTCCACTGGCTCCCAGCATCTCAGAGTTGAGTTTAAGATCCGTATCCTGCTCTTTAAATCAGCCCATGTCTCCCCTCAACCTATCTGGCCTATCGTCCAGGCCTACATCCCAGCCCATATCCTCCACTCAGGTCTGTTGCTCGCTCCATACTCCCTTTCCTTCACTATTTGTGGCCAAGCCTTTAGCCACCATACCCCTGTCTCCTGGAACTCTCTTCCACACTCTCATTGGACATGTACACTCTGGGGTCCCCAAGCCTTGGCTCTTGCCAACCTGCACCTAATACTTACTGTAATTAGGTAAACAGGATGAGTCTCTCCAGGGAGAGAGTGTGTATTCCATTGCAACAAATATCTCTCGGATTTCCATGTGGATGTGGGTGGGAGGCATGGAATTCTCAGCTGAGTTTGGATACTCTTAAGCATGGAGATGGGTTTCCGCATGTGTCAGATACCTGGCTGACTAAAAAAAGATGATCACATACAAACATCTCAAAGTGCTTCACGCTAATTATTGACAAGTGTCGTGACTGCTTTGCAGGTGAATGCAAAGCATGCCCCCTTCTTTATGTGAGATACGGGGCCTCTCTTTATGGTTCAATTAAAACGTGAGGTTAATGAAATCAGAAGGGAAGTTTTAAGCAGTAACCTGGTATGTGTGCACTCACAATGTTTTCATTAATTATGTTGCACAGTGGAAAGCCAACAACAGAGGAAGTACACGCATGGGGACACTCGTTTGACAAGCTAATGAAAACTCCTGCTGGCAGAAATGTCTTCAGAGAATTCTTACGAACTGAATATAGTGAAGAGAATATGCTCTTTTGGCTGGCATGCGAGGATCTCAAAAACGAAGTCATCAAAAAAGTCATTGAGGAGAAAGTCAGAATGATATATGAGGACTATATTTCGATACTTTCCCCTAAAGAGGTAAGTTTTTTTAAATACGTTCTTTCTCTACCCCCTCATCGCTCCCTCCCTTCCCTCCCCCTGACCATTTCCCCCCAATGCTCGGGTCCTGACCCAACTGTCCAGTGCCTTGGGACGTCCCCCCGAAGTGAAAGGCGCTCTATAAATGGATTCTTGTTGTTGTTGTTTTATGCGGGTATTTTAATGGCGCCACTTGAATAGGCAGTACAGCTGGGAGTTCCTTTGTACGTTTGCATAATATTAAGTGCATATCGACAGAACCTAGAGGTCCGTGAAGCCTTTTTGAAATGTCCTTAACCTTATCGACCTGCCCGCTCCCTTCGCTCAGGAAGCACATCCCTCGCTCTGCCCGTCCCACTATCGGCGATCGGTCCTTCAGCCTTTCTGCCCATACTCTCTGGAACTCTGTATCAGGGCCTCTTCTTTTCACCCTTTCCCACCTCTTTCAAGGTCCATCTCAAGACCTTCCTCTTTGACCGTGTCTTCGGTCATCCATCTGTCCTTTATTCTCCTGAGCTGCTCTGATTGTCAATCAAACCCAGGACAGTTTCCTTTTTTTTTCTTGTCGCCTCAACACATTTTAGATTTCCATATTCCTTTCCTTTGCTCAAGAGTCAAAACAATTTGTCTTGAAGCACATTTCCCTTTGCATTTGCCAATAACGTGGCATATTTAAACAATTTGCAAAGCGGATGACGTGGGGGTGAATTAGACTAACAGCTGCAAAGAGGTTGCCGTTATGCTGTGATCTTACAGAACCCAACCCAACGTAAGTGGTTTTACACAACAAGAAAGTGGCTTAAGACGTCTACGACACTTCCACCTCCAGCCCGAATGGAGTCGAAAGAAGGACGCAGCGATTCTGGTGGTCGAGTTCAAATTATTCCTTGCGTTCGATACAGCGCCTTATCACGTCTTCGAGACGTCTCAAAGCGCTTCACAGAATATACTGAAAAGTTAATTGACTGTATATTTCGTGGGCGAAAAGTTGATTGAGTGCAAGGCTAAACAGTTTGGTTTAGTTGAGAACGTTTTGAGGAGCTTCACAGGATGTACTGTAAAGCGGAGTGACTGTGTATTTTGAGGGCGAAATGTGGCAGCCAGTTTTCCACACAGCATTGTCCCACATGCAGCCATGGAGCGAGTGGCCAAATTATTTGGCCGGGGACACCCGGAGAGAGAAACTCCCCTTTCTTTTCGAGTAGAGCTGCGGGATCTTTAACGGCCACCTGAACAGGCAGATGAGACCATGCCTCCGACAAAGAAACCATACCCCCTCACACCCCCACCCAATGAGCTGTACAATAAGGGGTTAGCAAGCAATCGGCCCATTCAGAATGAAGTCCACATTATAAGGGCAGAGTTTTGCCGAGTGAAGGCAATTGCAGGTTCACATCCCCTGTTTCACTGACCCTGACCTCAAGCTGTGGTGTTCAGAGCCGCAGATAACCTGGCCGACAAACCAGGTAAGTGAGGCAACGACTAGATCTGTCTCAGAGCAGACACTGAAGGGAGGCTTCATCCAACGAGCTGGAGGGGGAGGCTGTCAGTGTCACCTCCGCTGCGACCGTTGTGACCATTGCACCAGCCACAAACACGGCCAGAAATGCGACCATGACCACAACCACAAGCCCACACGACCCGAAACAGCTACAGCAAGTTCACCCACCTCGTAAGTGTCCAACTTCACTTTGAATTCAGGTGTTCCACATCAACACCAGCTAAAACTTGCTCCTCAAAGCGCTTCATTTCACCCTCCTGAGTTGCCGCTTACCTTGTCGTTACTTCGTTGGCCCCTGGATCAAAACCGTGGACCTTTCTCACCCAACACTGTAAAACCAAATGGTTTCAGATGCAACAACAACAACAAATTGCATTCAACGCCCTGGGATATCTTTCCGATGTGAAGGACACTGTGTTCTTGTTGTTGTACAGAGCCTTTCATGTCGTGAGGACATCCAAGACGCTGGACAGTCAGGGATTTGGGACACAGGCGTGTCCTTCGCAAGCGTTACTCTGCTTACCCTGTATCTCTCTGAAACGCGTATTTCTGTTGGGAATGGCAGATTGGTCAATGAACTGATTTTCTTTTCCCTCGCAAACCCGGATAAAACTAACTGGCTCCGGAAGCTATTTGTTTGTGATTAGCTGTTTAGGATTTGGGATTGGGAACCCTACAGATTGAAGCAGACACTCGCAGGGATGTTTTATTGAAGGAGCTCAGCAGGTTACACAATAATGACTTTTTCGAATTAACATCATTTATCAGAGAACAAAACCGAGGCAGTTCTTTGTGAATACGTTTCCTTTTAGATGCCTACACTCGTTCATACCTTTTAGTTGGGTCTGACTGAATTTTGCTCAAACATTCATGTCCGCAACTTTCAAATTTCAACCTTGGTCCAAACTTCTTAGTTCTGATGGAAAAAATGAATTGCTCAGAATTCCTTCGTGAACTTTGAAGCTGTGCTTGATTTGGGCTCTGACTTGCTTATGAATCAAACGCTTTCCGGGTCCACTAAGGAATCCTGTGGCTTAGTGGTTGACACACCTGCCTCCCAAGCGAGAGGACCCGAGTTCGATTCCTGGGTGGGACGAAACTTCAGTTTGGTCACTCGACCCGCGACTGTTTATGGGACGCTGCTGTGCGCAATTGGCTGCCGCGTTTCGCCAACAAAATACACAGTCACTCCACTTTACAGTATATTCTGTGAAGCGCTTTGAGATGTCACAATGATATAATAAGGTGCTGTATCAAATGCAAGGATTATTATTCTCATCCATATGTTTTCTGTAATGAGCATTTCTAAAGGAGCCTCTTTAAGAAACACAGTAATATTGTTTGCATTTGATTTGTACCAAAACATGGTTATCATGAAGAAACACAAACCTTTGCTTGCTATTTGCTTTTCGTTCCTAAATATTGAAGTACAGTGATCGACATATGGCAAAGTTAAAATCATCAAATTGCCTTCACTTTAACATTTTTCATGTTTTACAATTTATTTAAAAGCCCCTGGTCGACAACTTTACTCCACAACTTTATTCACTGTCTACACCGTTGGGTTTGCACAGAATTTCAGAAGGTTTTTCCACTTGTTGATGAAAAACGTTCTGAAATTCATTTGTTAATGGAGGCCAGCAAGAAAGAGGATGTGGGTTCAAGGCTGTGAAAGGTCATCTTAAGTGAAACCCGGGCAGCTTTCCTTTACACACAGGGCAATGGACTGTTGGAGAGGGAAGTGGGATGCTTTTGAAGAAAAGTCTGAAAGAAAATAATTCATTGAATCCAACCCAAATTAGAAGATAAGTGGAGATGTGGGGATGCGAGAATGTTCTCGAGTGTTTGCTTGCTTTCCTCTGGTATTTATACAATACACTGGGAGATGGTGTAGTTAGAGCCAAATGCAGTCAGGTAGGTTTTGGGTGGATTGTGAAAAGAGGGAGGTTAATGGACATAATTTTGTTGGTTAGTTTAATAATAGCAAAGTACTGATCAGTGTACGTTTGCTTTGCACATCATTTTTGAAGTGCGGGACTGCCCTCTCGTGCCAGCAAGTAAGTACTGCAGCCAAATCAATTCAGAGTAATTCAATTATATCGAACGCTAATCCAGTAAAATTGCAAGATTAGAAACAGCTATTGAAGGAAATTAACAGCGATAATTGAAAGTTTTGTGTTCTACAGAAGGAAACAAGTCAAACTACTACTATTACTACTAATAATAATCCTCGCATATGATGTAGCACCTTATCATGTCGTTGAGACGTATCAAAGCACTTCACAGAATATATTATAAAGTGGAATAACTGGGTATTTAAATTGAACAGGAATAAAGGTAGGAATCGTTTGTGGGCGAACATGTTACTTATGGGACAGACAGCACTGTCACAGATTAGCTGTTGATTTTGCCTGTATAACATCCACTCAATTTCTAACCAATTTTATCTAAGCTCTTACAGGCATTTACAGGAAAGGTAATATAAATTGCCAATTATCATTGTTATTGGAAGTAATGAACATACTTTTCTTTTCTGCACAGGTTAGCCTTGACTCCCGGGTTCGCGAGGTCATCAACAAAAAGATATCAGATCCGTCACCCCACACATTTGACGATGCACAGCTTCAGATTTATACCTTAATGCACAGAGACTCTTATCCAAGGTTCCTGAACTCTTCTATATACAAGTCATTGAATCAGAGCACATCGATCACTTCTTCAGAATCATAGATATTTAACGATACGTTACGGGGGGAAAAAAATAATCGAATTTTTGTACACAAACATCGAACTGTCCATCTATTGGTAGACAAACTGAAGGTACAGGGTCAGCACAAAGAAAGAAAAATTAAACTCAGGTTTGTTTTGCTACTGATTTCCTGTTGCCTAATAAAACGTGAGAGGCACTAATTTACATTGATATTAGAAGCTTCAGATTAACCTCTGCACCACTTGACTCCCAAACAATGGCTTAGATAATGATAGTGATTTTACAGTCCATTTGTTTTTACAAATGCATTAGAAACATAACTCGGTGCGAAGGGACACAGGCTTGGATCAGACTTACAGAAGCCAGTCATCGCCAAATACACACACAGTCAAGTCAATACCCCTGATTAACGTGTTTGGCTACATATGAGCAGTCTCATAAAATATACAGTATATATACCTGTTTTCAGGTGCAAGGGGTGTTATTGTACCTTTACCTTAAAAATCATGAGATACACGTAACTTCTGATTCAAAAGAGGATAGTGTTCAAAACGTAAAGCACAACTTATTTCTCTGTGTATAATAGTCATGAAATTGGGCACTTGTGCAATCATGCTTTTAAAAACACATACACACACACACACGTTTTGCTGCTATAGTATACCAGTTGATCCAAAATAACACCCCATGTCAAATTCGTAAATCACAGTACAATGAGAGGACTGTAATCCTTATCCTAATTACTCTACATCTTACCCTGTTCCTTTAAGAATACAAACGTAAATTGTAAATTAAATGGTGGAGCCAAAACAGTGACTGACTTCTGTTAACTCAAAGCCAGTTCAACGGAAAATACCAAAATGGTAGGGCAAAAGGTTGAGATTGAGACTGCATGTTGATGAAAGGCTGTGAATTGCAATTTCCATCTGGGTTGAGAGCAAGTGCATTGCTTTATTATTAGCCTTCCCTGGACCCATCCCTGCTCACTAACTACCGCCTCATCTCCAACCTCATTTTCCTTTGCAACTTGAAAGAGATGCTGCTTCCCAGCTTTACTCCTTCCTCTTCTGCTACTCCCTTCACGAACCCCTCCAATTGAGTTTCCGTGATCCACTCTGTTCACAGCACGGAAATAGCCCTGGTCAAGGTGACGAATGACATTCTGTCTCCTCGACCTCTCTGCTGCCTTTGACACTGTGGACCACTCTATCCTCCTCCACTGCTTCTCCTCTCACTCAACCTTCATAGTTCTGTCCTATTTCTCACACCGACTCCACTTTATCTCCACAAATGGCTTCTCTTTCAGCCCTCGCATTGTCTTATGTGGTGTTCCTCAGGCCTCTCTGTCCTCGGTTCTCTCCTCTTCAACCTGTACATGCTCCCTCTTGGATGACACACAACTCTATCTCTCTGCCTTCACCCTCGACTCCAGAACCACTGCTGTCCTGACAGACTCCCTGTCAGACATCAAGTCCTGGATGAGAGCCAACTTTCTACAGTCGAACGTCAGCAAGACTGAGGCTCTCCTGATTAGCTCGTGTCAGCACCTCCGCACCTCAGTCACTGGTATCATCAGCATCTACGGATGCACACTCCACCTCACCAAGCCAGTCAGGAACCTGGGCGTCTTGTTCGATCCTCAACTGTCCTTTCTTTCCCACATCCGTGCCATGACCCGCTCTGCCTTCCCCCACCTCCGCAACATTGCCCGACTCCACCACTGCCTCACCCCTCAGGCCACGGAAACCTTCCTACATGCTTTCATTATATCCAGGCTTGACTAGGCCAACGCCCCCAGGCTTTGTGACACCATCACCCCCACCCTCACCCAGCTCCACTGTCTCCCCATCCTTCAGAGGATTGAGTTAAAAATCCTCATCTTCACCTTCAAGGCCTTCCAAGGCCTTGCCCCCTCCTACCTCTCCGACCTGCTAACCCCTTATCAATCTGTCCGCTCCCTTCGCTCAGCAGGCTCCGACCTTCTCCATGTCCCCCTGCCTGTCCCACCCCACCATCGGCCGTCGGCCCTTCAGCCTCTCTGCCCCCACTCTCTGGAACTCCATCCCACAGTCTCTTCACCTCGCTCCCTCCTTTGCCTCCTTCAAGGCACACCTCAAGACCCTCTTCAACCGTGCCTTTTGCCTTTGGCCACCCTCCTACTCCTTCCTACTCTCCACCCTCCCTGATCCCAACACCCCCACCCCACTCCGCTCGGGTCCTAATCCCTGACTGCTCAGCCCCTTGGGATGTCCTTCCGACATGAAAGGCGCTTTACAAATGTAATTTTGTATTGCATTATCAGATCCTGGTCAGAAAAGAATAAAACAGTTATCCTTCACATCCCCCAATGAGGATACACAATTAGCCTGTGTGCAGAAGGTGTCAATATTAATACAATTCAAATATGGTGGTTTATATTTGTAGAAATTTTTTTTTCTTGAGCACAGGTAACCAGCAAATAAAGGGCTCAAAATTATACCAAGGATTACCTACAAGATGGAAAAAAAAATCATTCAACAAATATATGGAAATCAAAGGAATACCCCTCACTATAATTTTTGAAAATTTATGGCGAATGTTTTACAAGCACAGTTCAAAGAATTTGTTAAGACTTAAATAAATGATATTGCTACTCAAATGGATCTTTCTGTCTTTTACTGCAATTTGCAACAGTTATTTGGTTCCCACATACTTTATACAGTGTATGTTTTTTTTAAAAAACAGCATAATCGGTTTCAGTGTAAGTCACACATGAACGCTAATATTCCTTGCATTTGATTTTGCGCCTCATCACGTCATTTAGACGTCTCAAAGCACTTCACAGGATAACAGAGAGTTGACTGTATATTTTGTGGGATAAAATAGCTATTAGTTCCAGATCACACACTGCTGTTTGAGAGAAACCCCATTTGAACCACTGTATTCCCAAGATTATGATATTATTTATTATTTAAGTTTGTGCTGTTAAAATTTCAAGCGCACTTTGCTAAAAGAATACTTTTAAAAAATATTAATTAATTAACGCACGACCACCAAAGGAATAATATATCCATATGGTGTGGCCAACAGAAATCTTATTGGCTGCATTTCTCCACCACTTGCCAGAGGATTTTGTTGACGAGTTTCTTTTAAAACTGTAATTATAGCTATAAAGTAATGACATTCAGGGACTTGTGACATTAACTGTGATTTTAAACGTGTATACAATGACTGATCCTTACAAAACAGCTAACTACACCTTAATCTCTCTTGCACATTAACTCAAATCCTCATCAAAGTCTGGAATATTCTCTATCCCTTTGTCTTGCCCCTTCCTTCCCTATCTTCAAGTCGCTCCGAAAGACCTTCCTATTTGAAGGTGGTCACCTCTGCCCTCCCACCTCCCCCTGGCTCAGCATCGTGCTCTGCCACTGTCAAGAGCTCTGGGACGCTACCCTGTGTGAGCGGTGCTATGTAAATGGAAGTTGCTGTTATCGCAGGTATATGCACCAGCAATATCCCACCAAACAGTCAGTGAGTACCAATTAATTAAGGTTTTGGTGGTGAACTTGGATTGTGTGGGAACATGAGTCAAGAGACGATGTACTTATATTTATGTTTACTGGGAAGTGAAAGGAAATTTCAAAAAATACATCTGCCTCGAGTCTAAATTTCTATCTGTCCTCTCCACACATGACAATATCTCCCAGTGTTTATCCTTGCTGGAAGACTGGTTGTTTCTAGAAATAAACCATCTCGCTAGAGGTGAAACTGACTTTGACCTTCAAGTCTATATGGTTTTTTAAGCCATTTACATGTTGCAGACTTTGACCCACACACCCTCCAGATTAAAGGCACCCTGATAGAGCAGAAAGACAAAATGGAGGAAAAATAGTGAAGTACATATTAGGTTTTTAAAGATTTTTTTTTTACTTTGAACCACATCAAAACCATCAGGTAAGGTTTGGGAGTGTTTGAAGTGAAGAATAGTGCTTTGTTTCACTTGAACCTCTGAGGAAAATAAGACCACTGAGTACTGACAGAAATTTCAACATTGTTCTCTAATCCTTTAGAACCAGGGCTCAAAAGATCACGAGAGGTTCGGATGAAGAAGGATCTTCGGTCCATTTGATCTCATCCTCCCAGAATACCCAGCCTATCATCTTCCCATTCCAACATTAAAGCTGCTTCGTCAACCCAGCACAAAGTAAAAGGGTCCGCACAAAATAAGTTTTGAGCAGTCTTAACTTGGTTTGTAACTCGGCTATAGGCTCACGGCACAAAGTTGTGGTCACTTAGCAAATTTCATTCAAGACACTGGAAAGGTGAAATGTTAAGTTCAAAACAAATCTGGGGAAACATTATTTCAGTGAGCGAGCAGTAAATGTATGGAACAAGCTCTCTAGGGAGACGGTGGTAGCAGAAAGTGTTGATTCTTTCAAAAGCAAATTAGATAGATTTCTTTTAAGAAACAATATCGTGGGATACAGTACATAATTTGTTGTTGTTATTCAAGTCTTGTAGTAGTTGTTGTTTTAAGTCTTGTGTTATTTAAAATTGATGATACCATTGGTACATTGGTCTTGTGGGGTAACTTTACAGGGAGCAGCCAATTAAGCCGAGCCAATAACAAATAACTTATTGATTAAATTAACTTATTGATTAATCACTTGATTAGGCGTTAATTCCAAATCACTGCTGAGCAAATCAGAAACGGGTTGCACCCAGAAAGTATAAATAGGAGATAGCTGCGAGAACCCAGAGTGAGCTACGTCTGGAGTGAGGTGAGACCAGAGTGTGAGGGAATTTGGTGAGAATTAGGTGCAGAGGGGGAAGTGGGGGCAGGCTATGTATCTTTGTATCCATATAAAGTTTGTGAAGATGGTGTGGCAGGTAAATTGTGATGTCTGTCACATGTGGGAGTCAATGGAGCGCGCCTTAAGTCCAGGTGACTTTGTCTGCCGCAAGTGTCTAGAAATCAGAGAGCTCCAGCTGAGAGTAGCTGAGCTGGAGTCTCAGGTGGAGACGCTGCGCAGCATTAGGGATGGAGAAAACTTCCTGGACAGCTTTATCCTGGAGCCAGACACTCCCCCTGAGTCCCAAGGAAGAGGAATGTAGCAGTGATGGACATGACTGGGTGACAGTCAGGAGGACAGGCAAGCGTTCCTGAAAGAGAGGGGCTGAAGAATCCCAGACTTTAGCCTTGTCTGACAGGTATGAAATGTTGGCAACCTGTGTGGACAAGGAAATCTGTGAGGAAGATGGGCAAACTGACCCCAACACCCCTGTGCAGGAGGTTAAAAATGTAATTCTTATTGGGGATGAGACAGTCGGGAGGACTGATACAGCTTTCTGTAGCCGTAGCAGGGAGACAAGAAGACTCTGTTGTCTTCCTGGGACCAGGGTGAAGGATGTCACCGCTGGGCTGGAGATAAATTTGAGGCATGAGGGAGAGGATCCAAT